GCCCAAAAATAGGTGTGCCAAACTTGTAGCATCATACTCAAAATGACTTGAGGCTGTATTTGGTGCTAAAGGTGCTTCAACAAAGTATTGAGCAAAGGCTGGGAATACTTATGTACATAGGGTTTTTTTTTAATTTTTTATTTTGAATAAATTGCAAAGATTTCAAAATGAACTTCTTTCACATTGTCATTATGGGGTATTGTTTGTAGAATGTTGAGGGAAAAAATGAATTTAATCTATTTTGGAATAAGGCTGTAACATAAAAAAATGTGGCAAAAGTTAAGCGTTGTGAATACTTTCTGGATGCACTGTAAACAGTGCTCACTTCTTAACACGTTCTAAAACTTAATGTATTACTAAACCCACAACAGTAAAATCAATCTGTATATGCAGCAACACATGCTCGCTATACTCACTAAGGGGTTAATCCTCTGCATTGTGTAAGAAGGATGTTTGATCCTGTCTTCTCTGATCCTTCCCTTCTTCAACTGTCCCCAATCCATCTGCTGACAGACCAGAGCCTTGGGGGCAAGCTGCATATGCTCAGTTTGGTGCCAAATCAGCCCTGTCCAGACAGAGGGTCAGGGATTATGCAGTCTCATAGGACAATCAGGGGAGAATGAAAGCTCCTCCTACAAGCTTTAACTAGTGCTCTGCTGGACACTGATAGAAGTCACAAGACTTCTCTAACTGCTGATTAAAAAAGGTATTTAGCAGTTTATATTTACTAAAATAATTGCACTTCTGTGGTTTGTGTACTGTGGTTGACAAGATTTAGTAAATGCAGGTTTATGGGTTTAGTAACTGTTGTAAGGCAACATGTTTTTTATTTCAGACATTTATGGATTCTTACTGCCTGGTTGTCAAATAACTATTTGGCCTATTGAATGTTATCCTGGAGTGTCAAGAAAAAAAAGTATTTACAACAGGATGTACTTATAGAAATAATACAGCACAAATAATACAAATAATCAAAATGTGAAAAATATATTAAAGTCCACAAAAAGTCCCAAATTAAAGTCCAATATCCCAAAAATTTGTGAAAAAAATATTTTATAGAATTGTAACTCAAACTTCATAAATTTTCTAGCATGATCACATCTTCTATGAAAAGCATTTTTTTTGATCCACACTCACCAAATACTATGAATTCCCAAGCTAGTATAGCTTAAAGATGCAAAAAAAAGCCTGCAGGTGGGGTGTGGTATCCTCAGAAGTGGTAATACTCTTTAAGCGATTTCTCACTGACTCTCCTTCCCAGATATTTACACATATAGCAATAAAACAGAAAAGAAAAGATGCCAATGATATATTACTATATACCGCTAAACTTTTTTATATATATATACAGTATATATATATAAAAGTGCCAAAAAAAAACCTTTCTTACACTCACATAAGGTGGTTAGACACCAATTTTCATGGAATTTTGTGTTTCCCAAATCACAGATGATAATCCACCCTTAACTTCCTCCAAGCTCTCACTTCTGGATGGATGGATGGATGGATGGATGCATGGATGGATAGGGGTACTTTATGACCAGCTTGTTACTCTCAAGCCTAGGCCCATGATTCCTCCTTAGTTTACCCCGAATTCATTCTCACGGATGGATGGATGAAAAATGAAAAAAAAAAAAAAATACCAAAATAGCGTAATACTATTAAAAAACTTTTAATACTCAAGTGATGCTCCAAATGCACTCACATTTTAAAACTGAATATAAAGCCTTTTTGTAAATAAATCAGGATTCCTCAAACTTGTTCCAATAGCCCCTCTGACAATTCCAGCTAGGCAGACACAATTGATCAGCTTTGGCAATGAAGAACTGGCAAAACTGTGGAATCAGACCTCTTTGCCCACACTACAGATGGCTGTGGAGCGCCGCATCAGCGTGCGTTCCACTCACCAGATGTGACGTCACATGTACAGGGTCGGAACCAGAAGTGACGTCTAAGTTACGTCTAAGTATTGCCAAAGCTGATCAATTGTGTCTGCCTAGCTGGAATTGTCAGAGGGGCTATTGGAAAAAGTTTGAGGAATCCTGAAACACAAAATTCCATGAAAATTGGTGTCTAACCACCTTATGTGAGTGTAAGGAAGGTTTTTTGGCACATTATATATATATATATATATATATATATATATATATACACACACACACTTTTTTTTTTATTGGTATATAGTAATATATCATTGACATCTTTTCTTTTATGTTTCATCGCTTTATGTGGAAATATCTGGGAAGGAGAGTCAGTGAGAAATCGCTTAAAGAGTATTACCACTTCTGAGGATACCGCACCCCACCTGCAGGCTTGTCTTTTTGCATCTTAAAGCTATACTAGCTTGGGAATTCACAGCATTTGGTGAGTGTGGATCAACAAAAAAAATTTGGGACTTTTTTTGGACTTATATAATATATTATTCACATTTTGATTACTTGTATTATTTGCGCCGTATTATTTCTATAAGTATATTTTAATGTTTAGTCAATTTTGAACAGCAACATTCAATTTTTCACATTCCTTTGGCGCAAGTTTTTATATTTACAACAGGATGTGTGTAACAAAAGGCTGCATACCAAGATCCTTGTCCTGGGAGTACACACATACCCGCTAGCGGTGGGGCATATAAGAGAGTCTCAGCCCGGACTGCCTGGTGCCACGAATATTAAAAAGGACAGACTACATGGCTTCTAGCCAGAAGGAAGAAGCCAGATGTGATTTACCTGGGTCCGAGCATTGTTGGCAATACAGCAGTACCCCCTGGTGGAGACAACCTACTTCCGGGATGATGGCTGGGGTAATACTATACTTCCTAATGAATAGGGAGGACAGCCCCTTATGAGTTATGGATGTTATTATAACTAATATTGCAGTATATTACATCCTTCAATATTGTCAAAGCTTATATATATTTACTAATTAATTATAGGAACCGACAAATAGTGCATAATTGACTAACAAATAGGGAAATTCCAGGAACCCCCCCCCCCTTATTATTGATTTCAGTAACACTTTAACTTCTAACACTTCAGTGGAATGGAAGGTGGTTTGGTACATATATTCTTTGTATATAATGGTCAGGACTTAAAAAGTAAAATAAACAAATCAAAGTAATTTGCCTCAACACACTGGTATACCTTCTATACACAGATACGCATTTTGGGACAGATACAGAGCTTCCTAGTTTGTCAGGCTTTAAGCTATGAAGATCTGGTTTCTAGATTTGCATACCTTTGCAGATCACTCCTGCTTGCTTTTCCTCACCAGAAATTAGTTAAATTACACCAAAAGGCAGAAACCCTTTAAAAGCTTAAATTCTAACACTTTATTCATGCGTGTAAAAATTAAAAGTCAGCAGCTACAAAAACAGTAGTTGCTGACTTTTAATAAAACACTTACTTGTCCAAGGATCCAGCGCTGTCCTCACGCAAAAACTGGTTTCATCACCAGTCTTTGGGCCCCTGCATCTTAATTGTGGGCAGCCAGCTGTGAGCAGAAGTGGAAGCGAGTACCCATCAAAACCAGGTATCTGTTCCCCCCCAAAACCAATATTTGCCAAATGTGTCTGAGGAGGGGGGGAGGAGGAGGATGAGCAGAACTTCCCTTTTGGGTGAAGTTCTGCTTTAAACTTACACTAGCTTCAAAAGCAGGCATTTCATGAGTGTTTTTGAAGCTTCATGAACATCTGTCAAAATTGTGTCCATTGAGTGCCCAGTGTTGTTTACATGGTCCCATTAGCATTGCATCAAAATTGACCCGAAATGTGTCATCTGTTAGGCTTTACAGCTCCCCAAATGCTTCATTGATGTCAATGTAAACACACTGCAAATGTGCCACAAATGCCCCTATGGCGTTGCAACTTGTTTGAGATGCATTTAGAAAGAGATACTAGCTAAGATGATAACACAAAACACAACAGAAAACCAATGCAGAGGGAGGGGTGTGCCAAGAATTTTTAGCACAATGAAGATGCGTCAAAAACATCTTGAAAATGTGTTATTAATGCATCTTAATGCATTAGGTGCGTTAATGAGCACCCAAAATTCTTTGCACATCTAGGATCCTGTTCACACTGGCATTAGAAACAGGCGCTTGGTATGCAATTTTGCCACTCTCCAAATATGTAGCGAAGCAACCTACAATGGATAATATGGGCAGCAGGCAGAGCTGTTCACATTTGAAAAACGTAGCTTTTCACACATCGCTGTGCAGCAAAAATTATATGTTGAGTTTGGGAGGAGTTGAAGCTTGTCAACTTCCATTCTAGTCTATGACAACAAAGAACAAATGCGCCTGTAGCAGCTACATGCATTTATGGTGCATTTACAGAGAATTTGACAAGCATTTATCAAACATCAGTGAGTGCAAAAAACACTTCCCCCTCAGTGAGAAACAAAAATAACTTGCAATGCGTCAAAGACACATGTTAACGTTGCGTTGATTCCCATTAGTGTCAGAGCTAGAATTTTGTGAACTTAGCCTAAAAGAGCTGTAGTATAGTATCTTCTGTGTTTACAATGTCAAAAATGACTTCGAAAGTAAAATAATTTTTTTGGTCAGGGGTATGGTCTATGAGCATTATGTAGTCTGCTGTGCAGCCAGTAGGTGGCGCTCCTCATGTTTTGCCTCACTTGCTAACTGCTACTGCCCTGAGAATTCATAGCTTAAAATCATATATATGTAAAAAAAAGGAATAACGTTTCCCCCAAACTATTGTTTCTGCTAGCTTTTATACCTTACCAAGTCTTAACCCTACATCTCCCCTAAACCTTTAACACATCGCTAAATTTAAACTGGATGCTTAAATTATTGGTGCTGTAATCTTCACTAAGTCCCTGTACGGAGGTCTTACAGTGCTTTATTAGGCTTTCTCTGTAAAACATGCCATTTACTACTTGCCAAATATTTTTTTGTTCATCTTTTGACCATAATGTTATTTAAAATTCTTCACTGAACATCAGAGCCTTAAATGTCAATACTATGACGCGCTGTCAATGTTAACGGAAAAAAGTGGCAATGGTGAAAATTTCTAGGATTGCTTCCAGACCATAAAGAACCAACAGAATGCCATTTATGATGAGATCTGCTCTCAGGATGTATGTCTCCCACACCAGGAAATATATAGACAGAAAGACATTGCCAATAGTCAATAACAGACTGGATCCTAACGGAAGCTCTTCTTCTGTTAAATTTCCCATTGTACCTGTAATTAAAAAATTGAGTGACAATTATAAAATAACCCATTATTTTGCTGCATCAGTTACTAGAGTCCTAAACCCAAGCTTTCCAGACAAAGACAGGGCTAAATTATACAAAACAGGGAATGAGAAAGGCAGAGGCTCCCCACAACAGCCAATCAGATTTCAGCAGTTTTCCAAAGCAGGTTGAATAATGAAAAATGGAACCTCATCCTGTAGGAAACATGGATATGTTTCATCTCCCCAAATTTGTATATTTCAGCCCCAATGTATCTGGAGTTTAGATGAACATGGATTGGGAACTAAGGCTACTTTCACACTGATCCACGGCAAAAAACTCATGCATTTTTACCGTATTTGTGGTGCGTTTTTTACATGATCACACATTTTTCTTCTGCTTTTTTAACGCAAAAGTGGAAGAAAACTGGATCAGTGTGAAAGTAGCCTAAGCTAGCTGCAAACTGGAATGTAAAGAAAATGTCTAATAACTTTTAATTACAAAATGGCTTGTGGGATAGTTTTCTATATTTTACAATATTCTTGTCAAAATCAGAGTTTTCCTGTAAACAATATTTGATCCTCATAACTACTATGTAGAGAAGGTATAATATATGCTTAAAATGACAAAAGTAGATTACTATAATGGATGATATCCTGCCTCAATACAACAGATCTAATTTTGCCATAGATGCAACAGTATTTTTTATTGGATCACAGAACTGCCCAAAAGCCAAGTGTGTCAATTAGTGAGAGAGGGTGATTCCTGGGAATTCCAATTCCTGGCAACAGATAACATATCAGAATGCTAACAAGTGCAGCCAACAGATGTCTGGATTTTGATTAATTAAGTCTCTTGTGTGTTTGGCTACATTAGAACATCATCATATCCTACGCTTTCTCTATTTACTGGATACATTATTTTATTGGCGCCATTAAAGGGAAACCATAGCGTATTGACCACTTCAACACTGGGCCATCTCGGACACTTTTCACATATATGTAAAAAAAAAAAAAATCGAAATTTTTTTGCTAGATGATTACTTAAAACCCCATCATTACATATTTTTTAAGCAGGGGTTCTAGAGAATAAAATGATGGGTGATGCAGTCTTTTAGGTCATGCAGTATTTGCGCAGCAGTTTTTCAAACACAATTTAAAAAAAACAACATTTTAGTGAATTTTAATGCACAAAAACACAATATAATACCAAATTGTGTGGTAAAATATAAAATTTGATGTTACATCAAGCAAATAAATATCTAATATGTCATGCTTTAAAATTGCATACGTTTGTGGAACAGCGCAAAACTATGATACGTAACTTTATACGTCTTTACAGGTTACCAGTTCAGAGTTACATAGGAGGTCTGGTGCTAGAATTATTGCTCTCACTATAACGTAGGTGCCTTAAACATTTTTTTATTCATATTTTTTATTTTTACACTGTCTCTCATTTTTTTTGTCATCTACTTTATTTCTATCACAACGGATGAGCAATATTCCTTGTGATAGCATGGGCAGTGACAGGTACTCTTTACTGAGATATCTGGGGTCTATTAGACCCCAGATATTTCCTTTGCCCTTAAAAGCATCTGATCAATCCGAGATTGATTTGATCAGATGTTTTCCCAAGCCAGTAATGACTTGTTTACTTCCTGGTTAAACCGGAAGTAACAAAATACTTGCTGCTTTCAGTTTCTTATACTATAGAGATAATCGGGGACATTCTGGTCCTTGTTTATCTCTATGGCAATCCCAGGTACCCGATGGGAAGGGACAGCCCAGGAAAGCGGCGGGGCGACCCGCTTCCACCACATGTAAATACAATCCAGCGGCTTTTTAGTTGCTTAGATTACTTTGACATTGTTCAGCATCGCCAGCTGTACAAACAATACTGGGGTCATGACTGTAGCTGCAGACTTGGCTCTGATATACCTGCTTCAACCAGAGGATGTATGGGTACTTTGGGGGAAGGGGTTAAAAAAGTATTAATTTTAGGTTGTTATACATTTATTTAGCAGCAGAGTGTTGTACTATGTTAGCTATCAACACTGCAGTCTAAACCCAAGACTTCGACATTTATATGAAAACAATTTAGGGTGTCTTTTCCATTATCTTCTTGACATTTCCCATTTTGATCATTGTTTTTCGTATAAAGATATCTAAATGCTCCATCTAGTGGTCATATACATATCATAGAATGTGATTAGCAAGGAAATGTGACATTAGAAAAATATGTAGTCTACTGCTGCTGAGAATGCATAGCTGCCAGGGTAATCATTTGGCTTCAACAGATAGAGCCAATGAGTATTATGACAATACCAACAATAATATGACAATTCGATGACTTTCATTTGATGGACACTTACTCTGGGTCATTGATTTAGAAGTATTGAAGCTGGATGCAGTCAGTAATTAGCATTTACAGAAGTAGATGCTCAACTGCAACCTCCATATTCTTTTTTAACCACTTTACTTTAACTATTTGCAGACCTTGGGTGTGCTACACATGCCCAAAACACATCCTCATTGTATACAGGGCGCGTGTAGCACGTCCAGTCTCTCTGCCATACTTCTGGGATCCCCCCTCCCAGTATACCGACATCCTCTCTGAGTATATTGTAATGCTAGTATTCCAAAACCCAGAGAAGAAGTCGCAGCTCTAGCTGTCAAAAAAGCTGTCTGAATCAGTGTTTAGAAACCACACTGCATCACAATGTTACATATTGTTACATTTGTATCTTTTTGTTCATTGCAAAATAAAGGATAATCTGCAGATTATGTCAGTTAAAGCAACCTGACAAGTAAAAAAAAAAGAAAAAGTTTTTGTTTTCTTTTTTATAAAATGTTCCCCGGTTGAACACCTTATTAACCTTTAGTTTACACTAACCAGCCCTAATTACCTTCTTAGTTTCCATGTTTCTTCAACTGTTATTTTCCTGCTTTTTGTTTCTTTTATTAACTATTAATATTTAAACTTTTGTTGTTTGTTTTTGTTTTGTTTGTTGATAATTCTACATTTAAAAGTGCAAATATTAAAAAAAAATACTTTATTTTGTTTGTAAATAACTTTGAAAAGTTTTGTATCGGAATCATAATTTTAGTGTCTTTTTAACCACCTACCGCCCGCCATATAGTACAATGACGGGCGCAAGGCGGTTCTCTTGTTCTGGGAGGACGTCATATGATGTCCTCCCATTCTAACCGCGCATGCGAGGCTGCGGGAGCGCACAGCGCGGTGATCGGCAGTGCGCTGTGTCCCTCGGACACAGCAGATCACCGATCAATGGAAAGAGCCGAAGATGTCGGCTCGGTCATGTGATCAGCTGTGTCCAATCACAGCTGATCGCATGTAAATAGGGAAATGCCGGTTATCGGCATATTTCTCCTCACGAGCAATCATGCTGACATCTCGAGAGGAGAGGAGAGGAGAGCTGGTAATCGGCATCCCTCAGAGGGGACATGTACACTGATCATCAGGGCACTGATGTTTAGTTTTGCTGCGTTCTATTGTCTAATGATTGCAAAAAAAAAAAGCCCCATTGTTACAAGACAATATCATGTAAAGAAAGCCTTTTTTAAATTAAAAAAAAAGCAATATATGTATTACCTTGTTAACTTTAGTAATGACAAAGTTATTACTGAATAAACAGGCCCATAACAAAAATATAAAAATTTCCATGGTCCATAGGGGTTAAAATACATCTAAAGTCAAAGCTTTCCTGGTCATTTTGGATAGAGTAGAGAATGGTTAGAATTTCTATTTCCATTTCTAGTCCCATTCGGGAGACTTCCCTGTCCTGTAGACACGATAGAAAGTGTAAGGAACTCTCTGTACAGCGACGGAAATAGTTTTTTGCACTGTTTTTACTGGAACAATATTACTATTGGAAGATGACCCCTCTATTCCTCTATCTATTGAAGCCAGCTCAGTAATTCTTGACTGCACTATTATGTACTGTGAAATACTGCCATGTTTGTGGCCAGCCTTAGAGCCTATAGGGTCCATAGGCCATTAGCCTATAGAGGCCTATGTTTTCAGCAAAGTCATACAAACTCCACAGATTTACCCTGAGAGTGAGGGACAGTAAACCACAGTCACTGTGCAGTAGTGCTAAGCAAGAAGTATACATCTGTGGGATTTTTGAAAAACTAAAGCAGACAGAATCTGGAAGCTGTGCATGGCAACCAATCAGATTCTGTCTTCAGCTTGTTCAGCAAAACTTTGAAAATGAAAAATTAGTTCCCATGCAAAGTTACTCCAGATTCTGGCTTCCCCGGTTGTGATAACTTCCCCCCAATGTATATTTAATGTGGCAGCCTCAGTACACATATACAGTGGGGTAAAAAAAGTATTTAGTCAGCCACCAATTGTGCAAGTTCTCCCACTTAAAAAGATGAGAGAGGCCTGTAATTGGCATCATAGGTAGACCTCAACTATGAGAGACAAAATGAGAAACAAAATCCAGACAATCACATTGGCTGATTTGGAAAGAATTTATTTGCAAATTATGGTGGAAAATAAGTATTTGGTCAATTTCAAACGTTCATCTCAATACTTTTTTTATATATCCTTTGTTGGCAATGACAGAGGTCAAACGTTTCCTGTAAGTCTTCACAAGGTTGGCACACACTGTTGCTGGTATGTTGGCCCATTCCTCCATGCAGATCTCCTCTAGTGCAGTGTTGTTTTGGGGCTGTCGCTGGGCAACACGGACTTTCAACTCCTTCCAAAGGTTTTCTATGGGGTTGAGATCCGGAGACTGGCTAGGCCACTCCAGGACCTTGAATAGCTTCTTATGAAGCCACTCCTTCGTTGCCCGGGCGGTATGTTTGGGATCATTGTCATGTTGGAAGACCCAGCCACGTTTCATCTTCAATGCCCTTGCTGATGGAAGGAGGTTTGCACTCAAAATCTCATGATACATGGCCCCATTCATTCTGTCCTGTACATGGATCAGTCGTCCTGGTCCCTTTGTGGAGAAACAGCCCCAAAGCATGATGTTGCCACCCCCATGCTTCACAGTAGGTATGGTGTTCTTTGGATGCAACTCAGCATTCTCTCTCCTCCGAACATGACGAGTTGTGTTTCTACCAAACAGTTCTATTTTGGTTTCATCTGACCATATGACATTCTCCCAATCCTCCTCTGGATCATCAAAATGCTCTCTAGCAAACTTCAGATGGGCCCGGACATGTACTGGCTTAAGCAGGGGGACACACCTGGTAATGCAGGATCTGGCGGCGGCGTAGTGTGTTACTGATGGTAGCCTTTGTTACGTTGGTCCCAGCTCTCTGCAGGTCATTCACTAGGTCCCCCCGTGTGGTCCTGGGATTTTTGCTCACTGTTCTTGTGATCATTTTGACCCCACGGGGTGAGATCTTGCGTGGAGCCCCAGATCGAGGGAGATTATCAGTGGTCTTGTATGTCTTCCATTTTCTAATTATTGCTCCCACAGTTGATTTATTCACACCAAGCTGCTTGCCTATTGCAGATTCAGTCTTCCCAGCCTGGTGCAGGTCTACAATTTTGTTTCTGGTGTCCTTGGACAGCTCTTTGGTCTTCACCATAGTGGAGTTTGGAGTGTGACTGTTTGAGGTTGTGGACAGGTGTCTTTTATACTGATAACAAGTTCAAACAGGTGCCATTGATACAGGTAATGAGTGCAGGACAGAGGAGCCTCTTAAAGAAGAAGGTACAGGTCTGTGAGAGCCAGAAATCTTGCTTGTTTGTAGGTGACCAAATACTTATTTTCCACCATAAATTGCAAATAAATTCTTTCTAAATCAGCCAATGTGATTGTCTGGATTTTTTTTTTCTCATTTTGTCTCTCATAGTTGAGGTCTACCTATGATGCCAATTACAGGCCTCTCTCATCTTTTTAAGTGGGAGAACTTGCACAATTGGTGGCTGACTAAATACTTTTTTGCCCCACTGTGTATATATATATATATATATATATATATATATATACACACACATACACAAACACACTATAAACACACACACTGATCAGCCATACCATTATGACCACCCATCTAATACTGAGTAGGTCCCCCTTTTGCTGCCAAAACAGCCCTGACCCATTGAGGCATGGATGCACCAAACCTCTGAAGGTATGCTGGGGTATCCAACACCAAGCCGTCAGTAGCATGATCCTTTAAGTCCTGTAAATTGCAAGCTGGGGCCTCTGTGGATCAGACTTGTTTTTTCAGCACATCCCACATTGCTGCCTAAAATATCCCACTGGCTTTCAGATGCCATTGTAATGAGATAATCAGTGCTACTTGCTTAACCTGTCAGTGGACATAAAATTATGGCTGATTGGTGTATATTACAGACTATACATAGAAACAAAATATTAAAGCTGCCCTTAGGGGCATGCAGAAAAAGAACTGGTTTCACAGGTAGGTTATGGGAAGAGGGTCCTTTTAAAAGTACAACACACATGGATTGCAATCATCTGTGGGATTTTCATTTTTATGAAGCTTTTTTGATTGCTTAGCCTTGTCCCAGAAAATAAGTTTCAAGAGTAAGATGCATTTTTACTTACCCAAGTACAACCGCACAAACTCAAGGATTACCATGAGGAAGAGAAGACCAAGATCTAAAGCCAAGTTAGAGTCTGGATAACTAAAACACCTGGCCTGAAAATAAGACATAAAGGGGAAAAGGTGGTAAATATGAAGCATGTTGTCAATTTGGCACTCATTAGAGCATAAATCTAGCACATCTAAAATGGAAAAGTTTTTGCTCTGAGATACTTAGAAAGGGCTGTCTCTGAGTCTGACCGACCTCTAACAACTAGTTAGTGCCCCTGCCTCACAGAGAACCTGCCCTGTGCCAGGACGAAGAAGTGAGATTACCACAGAGGTCAGTCAGAGCAAGAGGCCGAGGCCCACTCCTGGATAGTAATAAGATAAGATAGAATATTAATAATAATAAAAATAAAATATTAATAAAAACATTTACTTTAAAAAACAAAACATATTGTGGCTGAATTACTGAAGCATGTTCACTTTGCAAGAGATTTTTTTTTTTACTAAGCCTAATCAGCAAGGTGAGCTCTGTTGTCTTCCATCATCCAATCATGTATGAGAAAAAAAAAAAATTTTTGTACTCACTGTAAAATTCTTTTCTACTGAGTCTACTGAGACACACGAGACATAATTCACCTTTTGGTTACACTGCCGCTTACAGGAGGAATAGATACTGGCAAACAAACAACAAATTGTAGGCAAACTTAGATAACCCCTCCTACTACAACTACCAGCATGCTTCAGTTTTGTAGGAATGCAGTACTGACAGCATGATTATACACAGAGTGTGGGATCTGTGTCTCTCAATGGACTCCAAAAAGGATTTTAAAAGTGAATTAAAAAAATCCTATTCTCTTTCTCTTTCCAATTTGGGACAAAAGAAGTGCACTCAATCTGCATCCTGTGAGCAGACAAGAAAGAAGCTTCTGGGGACGAAGGGCATAGATCAGGATGCACTGAGCCACCAGAACATCTACTGCTTCCACTAGAGCACCTTTTCTCAACCAGAGTTCCGTGGAACCCTAGTGTTTCTCCAGAGGTTGCCAGTGGTTCCTCAAGCAATTAGTAATTTATGCCTCTCACCCAGGTCACCACTGATCTTTTTAGCAATCTGTGGCTTTCTCTCCTCTCCTTGCAGGGATGACAGTATAGGCTAAACAACCTTTGACTGGTCAGCACTGTCACGATGCTGACCAATCAGAAGTCGTCCAGTTTGTACTGTCATCCCTGCAAGGAGAGGAGAGAAAGCCACAAGGATTTTTTAATTCCCCACGGCCTTCTCGCCTCTCCTACAGCTGAGAATCCGGAGCATCTGCCTCCATCCTCTGCCTGATAGCCGACACCAGTATATACATCCCCACATGCCCTTCTCTCCCACTCTCTGCTCAGCATGGGATTGGTGCAGGGAGGTTTCCCGCACCACTCCTATGTGAACTCAGGCTATGACAAGCGGTATCAGTGCATCCCTAACTGAGTCAATTTTACCACCATCCAACTGCTCCCCCTTAAGGCTGCAAAGTCAGTGGACACAAGTGTACACGTGCGACGGCCAGAAAGGAGTTAATCCCCTGTCATGTTCTGTGGGCAGTATTGCCCACCAAATTTGACCCACTCACCTAAATGGAGCTGCACTGCTCTATCCTGCAACCAAACCAGGGCACACGTTTGCAGTGCAGTGGTGCAGATTTGTATGGGTTAAAACAAGACATGACTCCTCCTCATGTTCCACCCAGCTGATGATGTTGGGGCTCAGTCCCACAAAGTGAAACCCTTCCGCAATAAAAACTGACAGGTAAGAGGGAGTTTAAAGGTGTCCAGTAACCAATGTAAATGAGGTAGCTCCCAGTACTCTGCCCAACCAGCCTACTCATTGAGTGTTCAGGGATGGGGCAAGTGCTGAGGCAATGTCAATGGCTCTGGACCTGAAAAGCGCTCTGCAGCTAACTTGTTACCAGTATAGAAACCCAGGGCCTGAAGGTCATTTCCAGGCCCTGCAATTTCCAGCTCAACATGGTCCAGATGTGGAACTCCAAAAGTCAGGCTGAGGATGACTGCACCAGAAAGCTGCAATCAAAAAGACTAGCTCTACCAAGTATGTAGAGAGGAGTCCTAAGTGAACAAAAAAATTTTGAAATGTAAGAAAAAAGGTGTTAGTAAAATAGGTTAGTCTTTAACACAGCAGAGCTGAAGAAAAAACATCCATCGTCCTACAACACTAGCAAAAAAAACAAAGACATGCTGATAGTAGAAAGGGTTTTACAGGGCTGACAATTCTTTTTTGTACTCCAGTGTCCAATGTACAGTCATTTTGCAGTTGGTGGTTTAACCCAAATTAGAAAGACTTAATGGGGTTTATTTACTAAAGCTGGAGAGTGCAAAATCAGACTCACTTCTGCATAGAAACCAATCAGCTTCCAGGTTTCATTGCCAAAGCTTCATTGAACAAGCTGAGGTTAGAGAAGCTGATTGGTTTCTATGCAGAAGGGAGTCTGATTTTGGACTCTCCAGCTTTAGTAAATAAACCCCAATGTGTCCCTCAAAGGATGAAAAACAAATCCTGTTTTATTAAATTTTCCAAGCACAATTGGGTATTCTTTGCAAAGTGACTTTTTAACACATTTACAAAGCTCAGTAAAAATGTCCTTTTAAAGTGAAAACTAATTTGCAAAGAGAAATATGTTCTGCCCCTTCGGTTACTCAAATGCCTTGTGTAGAATATAGAATTTAAAACATATCTGAATATTTATTTGATACTTGTCCAGTTGTTTTACACGTTACACCATGGTAACGCTAATTTTACTTGGAATTGGCTAGGTAATTTTCATGTGACCAAAAGTTTACTTACTTTTATAAATAATCATTAGTACTGTAGCAAGAAAATAAAACACATAATACACAACATTGACATAAAATAGGATCTGGAGAGGAACAGATGACAGCTGATTAAAAAGGTGTTAAGGAACTCTGAAATTTGCAAATATGAACATTTTGTACTTGAAACGTGATGGGTTTTTCACTGAGAAACTTACTTTATAACTTCACATGAACACTGTGAAGTTGTAAACTAGATATCTGTTTCCAAGCATATTTAGGGCTCGTGTTGATGGGCGTTCTAGTAAAAAGCCATGTTTGTAATTCAAATGCACATAACTGTGTTCAGAGAGCTGAACATTTTACAAGAAAAGGCTGCATTAGACCTGCTTTTCCTGCAGTTTACACACACTGTAATAGGACAAGCTGCGTCCAAAGAAACACAAATCGAGTCAAATTCAGCCTCTGAACTGCTATGTGTATTGCTCAATGAAAATCAATTGGATTTTGCTGACCTGAATCTGAGGTGTGATCCAAATGTATGTCAAACACAGGAAAACAATGCCTCCTGAGTAAAGACATACTGTAATTATGGCCAAGAGGTAGTGGTAAAGGTATGCTGGACATGGATCCTCACAGGTTATCAAAATGTGTATAAAGTAATTACTTGAGCCCAACAGGCCTGCATTCAGCAGTTCACCTTGAAGACAGGGACCCCTGGAAAGGAGATTCACCTGAATTGAGAAACAAGTGTCACAGATCAAAACAGAGCCAAATGAAAAATCCTTAGGAGTCCAAAATCTTTATTCTTCAACTGGTTATGACAAGCAGGGCAAAAGACAGCCAGTGCATTTCTGCGACCCAGCCCCAGTGAAGGGGGATTGTGTTGGCTGTCTTTAGCCCAGTTTATTGTAACCTGTTGAACAATAAGGCCTTTAGACTCCTAATGATTTTTCATTTCGAGCCCTCTTTAACCTATTACGCTTACATTATACCATGTGTCTTCTATGGAATACAGGGTAGGAGGAGGGGGTAATGTCTGCTAAAATAATTATCTTTCAAAGTTGCAATGAAATCTGGAAAGCAAGTTTTGGATAACATACGCTATATTGCCAAAAGTGTTAGGATGCCTGCCTTTACACGCACATGAACTTTAATGGCATCCCAGTCTTAGCCCGTAGGGTTCAATATTGGAGTTGGCCCACCCTTTGCAGCTATAACATCTTCACATCTTCTGGGAAGGCTGTCCACAAAGATAAGGAGTGTGTCTTTGGGAATGTTTGACCATTCTTCCAGAAGTACATTTGTGAGGTCAGGCACTGATGTCAGACTAGAAGGTCTGGCTCGCAGTCTCCACTCTAATTCATACCAAAGGTGTTCTATTAGGTTGAGCTCAAGACTCTGTGCAGGCCAGTCAAGTTCCTGCACCCCAAACTTGTTCATCCATGTCTTTATGGACCTTGCTTTGCGCACTGGTGCGCAGTCACATTGGAAAAGGAAGGGACCATCCCCAAATTGTTCCCACAAAGTTGGAAGCATGACATAGTCCAAAATGTCTTGGTATGCTGATGACTTAAGAGTTCCCTTCACTGGAACTAAGGGGCGAAGCCCAACCCCTGAAACACAACCCCACACCATAATCCCCCTCCACCAAACTTTACACTTGGCACAATGCAGTCAGGTAAGTATCATTCTCCTGGCAACCGCCAACCCCAGACACGTCCATCGGATTTCCAGACAGAGAAACGTGATTTGTCACCCCAGAGAACACATCTCTACTGCTATAGAACCCAGTGGTGACGTGCTTTACACCACTGCATCCACCGCTTTGCATTGCACTTGGTAATGTAAGGCTTAGATGCAGCTGCACGGCCATGGAAACCCATTCCATGAAGCTCTCACTGTTGCTGTGCTAATCTGAAGGCCACACAAAGTTTGGAGATCTTTAGCTATTGACTCTGCAGACTTTGCTCTTTAGCATGCGCTGGCCCCGCTCTGTCATTTTATGTGGCCTACCACTTAACCCCTTCACGCCGGCGCCTCCCGGCCCTTTAGGGTTTCAGAAGCCGGGAGCAGGGCAGGGTTTAGGGTCATGTGACCGCTGTGACACGCTGTCACATGATCGGGAAAGGTCCCGATTGAAAGAGGAGATCGGGACCTTTCCGTGAGTACTGGACATGTGTGATGGAAATGCGCAGGGCACGTTCTCTCAGCACATATGTTCTGTTTTAATAGAAAGCAAATGTGCGGCCGCTCGGCATCTGGGCCCAGACGCCGGGAGGCTGCACATTTGTGTTCGGCCGGTGTGAAGAGGTTAATTGCTGAGTTGCTGTTGTTCCCAGTTGCTTCCACTTTGTAACAATACCAGTAATAGTTGAGCGTGGAATATTTAGTAGCAAGGAAATGTCACGGATGGACTTATTGCACAGGTGGCAACCTATCACGGTACCACACTTGAATTCACTGAGCTCCTGAGAGCGACCCATTCTTTCACAAATGTTTGTAGAAGCAGTCTGCATGCCTAGGTGCTTACACCTGTGGCCATGGAGGTGATTGGAACACCTAAATCCAATGATTTGGAGGGGTGTCCCAATACTTTTGGCAACGTACACGTATAATACATATCAGGATTGATTAACATATGAATGATTACTTTGTTGCTGTGATACTTGGATTAGAAAAGGCACAGGATTGCTGTTAAGAAGGAAGATGTAGGCAATCTAATGATTTTGCTAAAGAGCCCTGCAATATAATGCTATAGCACTGAAACTAAGCCTAACACCCAAGTTACATGGGCTGGGGATGCATCATGACCTCATAACCACTATTCAGACAAGATTAACAATTTTTTCCTACTTACACATTGGGACAAAATGGGGAGAATACAGCAGGTCCACTGTTGTACATCAGCAGACTGCATTCAGATTACTTTAGGTATTCCTAATGCCTAGTACAGACAATCAGAAAATATGACGAAAAAATACTGTTTTTAAGCGATCATATAATAATCTGATTGTTAGTACACAGATTTCAAGAGCCGATCATGACAGTTCAAAATTATCCAAAGGAACAAGCACAAACATTCTTCTCATACAATACCAGAACATATGGTTGTAATTTAACCGAATAAAACAAACAAAAAACAAAATCGCAACACGATTCGGTAATCGGTAACACCACACATGCTCAGAAATGAAAGAATACATTACATCACTTCCAAAGTAGTATTCTGTTGTACGAGGATTTTTTTAACTTTAGTAACCTTTCAATTTTCAGTATGAGACTAGCATGCAAAAAAAAACCAGACGATCATTCGTCTGATATTCTCATCGTGTTTATGAGGCTAACTTAGCACTGAATGAACTTTTAATGTCAGATCTTTCACTTTAAAAGGTGCATGAAATGTGCACCACTGCTACCATCTTGGTACAGTCAGGTATCAAAACTGTAGATGTGTGTGGAGGAAAAAAAGTGCATCAAGACAAAACAAAAGTAAAGTGGTTTTCAAAAAAATACAAACTGCAAACAAAATAAAACTGAATAAAATTATGATATACGAAGTATGAAGGATACAACCAAGGAGCTCTTTCCTGTAAAAAGAAAAAAGAAAAACACCAGTTAAAAAAAATTGTATGTGACAGGTAAACCGTTAAAAATGGTAATCCAATAATTCAGTTATTAGCTGATTGCTCATGTGCACTTTGCAAAAGCTGATCTATAAACCCACCTTCCTTGTACCAAAAGCAGGTGTTTTATTGGATCACCATATTTTGTTTGTTTCAGAGATATGTCAGTTATAAACTAGACAGCTTCTTGATTTTGTAATTTACTTATAGTAGGTATTTTTGGACAGATAGAGCTTTTTACAGTTAGCCCTGTTTAAACTGACATTTCAATTTTGGTAAATTTTGGAGAGTTAAACTGCCTGATGATTTGTTATACATCTAGGGGACTCTACTGATGAGATAACTGTTTTTGGGTTCCAGAGTCTGTAGACTTGTAGTAACTATTATAAGGGGTTCCAAATCTCCCTATTGCTTTTTTTTTTCTTTCTTTACTTATTTATATCAAAAACGAAAAATCTGGTACTGGAACATGGAAATGTGGTACTGGAATATGTAAAGTTGTAGCTATAACATGGAAAGTTGGTACTGGAACATGGAAATGTGGTACTGGAATATGTAAAGTTGTAGCTATAACATGGAAAGTTGGTACTGGAAAATGGAAAGGTGTTAAAAGAACATGGAAGTGTAATGCTGGAACATGGAAAGGTGGTGTTAGAATATGGAAAGATTGTATTCGAACATAAAAAGGTCATTGTGGAGAATAAAAAGGTCATGCTGGAACATGGGAAAGTGGTGCTGGCACTTGGAATAGGTGCTAGAAAAAGGAAAAGTTCTCCTGGAACATGAAAAGGTGGTGCTGGAACATGGAAAGCTCCTGCTATGACATAGAAAGGTGGTGCAATCCACTTCCAGTTCTCTGTTGAGTTTTATGTGTATGTGCAGGTTCAAAATTTTTTCCTGGGGTGGGTTTAAGTGCTTGGGTGTACCTTTAATGTTTACTCTTTTTTTAACCTAACTTTATTGCATTCACATAGGGAACCAATAGCCCCCTATGTGATAACATATACGTAGTGACAGGTTCTCTTCAATAAGATCTGTGGTTCATTAGCTTTAAAGTGACACTTCACTCATGCCTCCGCACAACGTGATGTTTTGCACTGCTATGCAGTTGTTTTTGGCCACACCTAATGTTTTTGCTATCTCTCTGATGGTTTGTTTTGTTATTTCAGCCTAATGATGGCTTGCTTCACTGATAGTGACAGCTCTTTGGATCTCATCTTGAGAGTTGACAGCAACAGATTCCAAATGCAAATAGCACACTTGAAATGAACTCTGGACCTTTTATCTGCTCATTGTAATTGGGATAATGAGGGAATAACACACACCTGGCCATGGAACAGCTGAGAAGCCAATTGTCCCATTACTTTTGGTCCCTTAACAAGTGGGAGGCACATATGCAAACTGTTGTAATTCCTACACCGTTC